GCCGTTGCTCCGCCGGACCACCACTTGAGGCCCTCACCTCTGTCGGACCACCGCTTGACGCCATTGCTCCGCCGGACCATCACGTGAGGCCCTCACCTCCGTCGGACCACCGTTGCTCCGCCGGACCACCGTTGCTCCGTCGGACCACCGTTGCTCCGCCGGACCACCACTTGAGGCCTTCACCTCCGCCGGACCATCGTCTGACGTCGTTGCTCTGCTGGATCACCACCTTAGGCCCGGACTTCTGCCGGACCACCACTTGAGGCCCGAACTCCGCCAGACCACCATCTGACATCAAACTTCTACCGAAGTATCACCCTCCTACTACGGTCTTTCAGACCCCGGTCTCCTGCCAACAATGATCTTTCAGACCCTGGTCTCCTTCCAACAACGGTCTTTTAGACCCTGGTCTCTTGCCAACAATGATCTTTCAGACCCTGGTCTCCTTCCAACAACGGTCTTTTAGACCCTGGTCTCTTGCCAACAATGATCTTTCAGACCCTGGTCTCCTTCCAACAACGGTCTTTTAGACCCTGGTCTCTTGCCAACAATGATCTTTCAGACCCTGGTCTCCTGCCAACAACGGTCTTTCAGACCCTGGTCTCCTGCCGACTACGGTCCTCCCGACCTCTGTCGCCTATTACGGTCACTCCGACCTCCATCATAGGACAACGGTCTTTCTGACCCCAATCTCCTGCCGACTACGGTCCTCCCGACCTATGTCGCCTACTACGGTCACTCCGACCTCCATCACAAGATGATGGTCCAGACCTCGGTCTCCTTCCAAACAACGGTCTTTCAGACCCTGGTCTCCTGCCAACAACGGTATTTCAGACCCTATGCTTCTGTCGACTACGGTCCTCCCGACCTCCGTCGCCTACTACGGTCACTCCGACCTCCATCACAGGACAATGGTCTTTCTGACCCCAGTCTCCTCCCGACTACGATCCTCCCGACCTCCGTCGCCTATTACGATCACTCCGACCTCCATCATAGGACAACGATCTTTCTGACCCCGGTCTCCTGCCGACTACGGTCCTCCCGACCTCTGTCGCCTACTATGGTCACTCCGACCTCCATCACAAGACAATGGTCTTTCAAACCTCGGCCACCTTCCAACAACGGTATTTCAGACCCTGGTCTCCTGCCAACAACGGTCTTTCAGACCCTGGTCTTCTGCCGACTACGATCCTCCTGACCTCCGTCGCCTACTACGGTCACTCTGACCTCCATCACAAAACAACAGTTTTTTTGAACCTCTGTCGCCTACTATGGTCACTCCGACCTCCATCACAAGACAATGGTCTTTCAAACCTCGGCCACCTTCCAACAACGGTATTTCAGACCCTGGTCTCCTGCCAACAACGGTCTTTCAGACCCTGGTCTTCTGCCGACTACGATCCTCCTGACCTCCGTCGCCTACTACGGTCACTCTGACCTCCATCACAAAACAACAGTTTTTTTGACCCCAGTCTCTTGCCGACACGGTCCTCCCGTCCTCCGTCGCCTATTACGGTCACTCCGACCTCCATCACAAGACATCGTTATCTTTCAGACCTCGGTCTCCTGCTGACTACGGTCCTTCTGACCTCTGTCTCTTGCCGACAATGGCCCTTCCAACCAAACAAACATGTCTATGTTGATTATTGTAACTCCCACAATGTAATGCATTCTATATGACGAACATTTGTAACATCAAGCTAAGGCCTTCTCCCTAAGAAGGGCCTCATTTGTAATCGACTGCAAATACTAGTGGATTTATTCAAATTGGGCTAGACCCCGTGGTTTTTCTCCCCTTTTAAGGGGTTTTCCACATAAAAATCTTGGTGTCTTATAAATGTTACACCCTCTCTCACTTATCTGCTTGTGCGCTGGATCTACCGTCGTGAATATTCCAGGACGCAACAAGTGCGGACGTTGATTTGATGTTGTGGATAGGAAATAAGAAATTTTGTTTAAATCCCTCCAAATACAAGAAATTATATTTAAAAAAATTAATAAAATATTTAAGATGTGCGTGTCAGATATGTTTGTCCAATTTGTATTTGATATTTTTTAAATTGGGCACATGTTCGGTGTGTCCGACACGTGTTGGAGGAGTGTTAGACGAGTGTCGTCGGACTCTTTGAGGAGAAGTCTATATTGTAGGATCTTCATATAAGAAGAGTGATGCACTTAGAACAATTCAACATTATAAAATAATTTTTTATCTAACCAAAGAGAAGTTGAGTAGTGGTCAAGATTTGAATCAAAAGACAAGTTTAGAACGAGCTGGTGACACTCGTTGATGTTCGCATTTTCATACCTTAATTAATCTGATGAAAATGTATGCTTCTGTAATTGAAGTGATTGAAATTATTAAAAAAAATACGATAAATGATCAACAATCTTTTTGAAGCTAGTGTTATGATATATGATATTGAATTTTTTTTTATTTTATCCTACAATGCACTTAATTATTTACATTGTAGGTGTTACAAATGAATTATTACAAGCCTTGCAGAAAAAAGATCAAGATATCAAAAATATAATGAAATTAGTACTATTCTCCAAATAATATTACAAATAATGAATATATGATATTTTTTACTTGACTAAGTATTATATTTTTTGCAATGTTTTTGAAGTTGATGTTTCTAGTATGATTTCTAAATTCAAGAGTGATTGGCGATCAGAACACAGAAATAAAAAATAACAAATTTGCATCATTATCGTGTGAATTTCTTTTACATTGTTATTGATATGTAATTTCAATAGCAAAATAATAAATTCTTTGAAGTTAGTATTAAGTTGCTTCTTTGTATTTCATTCTTGAATCGAAGTAAAATGTTTTTCTTTTTATGATAAGAAAAAATTAATTCAGCTTGCAAAGTAATATTCAACATATTTTTTCTATTGTTAAACTTATAGCTTTAGAGCTCCAACTATTCACATACATTCTTGATATGTGAACAAGAGAGGAGTTTTCATCTTTGAGTAACATTGCTGTGCAAAATAATTTATTAAGATTAAGAAAGATATTATGTATCCCTTAATTTACAGGCTTATTGTTTTGATATTAACTTTGTCAGTTACAATTGCTACAATTGAGATAATATTTTCTATAATGAATGCAAAGCTTGTAATTTTTTTATTTAATAATTATAATGCAAGTTTTTTTGATTTGATTCAAAATAAGAATTGTTTGGTATATTGTAATATTGAAATGAATACTTCAGAAAGAAGAAACTACCAGATCAAAGGAATCATAGAAAGTCAACCCTCAGGTAAGGTTGACAAAAATGATTTGATTGTCCTAAATAAAATAGGGTTTTATGGTGGTCTACCAATAAAGATGGAAATGAAAACTAGAACTCAATGTGAGAGAGAGAGATAGAGAGAGAGATAGAGTCTCACATCGATGCGGGAAGAGATAGTAACTAACTAGGGTTAGGGGTGTAAGTGAGTCAAGTTGGTTTGTGAGCTAGTCTGAGCTTGATTGGATAAATGGCTTACGAGATGAGCTTGATTAGCTGAGGAGTCAAGCTTGACTAACTTTGACTTGACTAGTCTCATTCGCTCGCGAGCTTGCTCATTTAAAAAATATAAATATAAAATATGTTTAAACATGTTAAAATTCAGGAGTTCAAATATAAAGTTACTAAAAAATATTTAAAATCTATATCTTAATTTCTTATAAATGATTTTTTGTTACTTATCTATTAATTTCTCATTCTTTTGTGATGTTATCATAATAATTGTTTGTAGCATATTCATTTTCTCTTTTTATTATAAACGAGTGAGTTTAAACTCGTAGAATTAAGTTCAAACTAGAGCTCGCAAATGTCATGAATGTTAGAAAGTGAAAAAGATGTTGATGTAGTTAGTTATGAATGCTAGAAGAGTAAAATGGAGCGGGAAGAGGAGATGCCATTGATGTGGGTGGTAGGAAGAGTTTAGAAGGTTTTAATAATCAATTTTCATCACTTTGTTTAACCTATCTATTAAAGTCCATAGCTTTCACTCAGCAGTACGTTGTTAAGGATTTCATATAATGATACTCCAATAATTGTGTTTGTAATGGATGCATAAAGTTCTAAAAATCAATCGTATGAGGACCACAAGAACAATAATGTTGGACCATGTTGCATCCTGGAAAATTCGTGTTGCGGAGAAATAAAGAATTTAATGTCCTAAATTTGTACGAAGATCTAACAGACATATATATAAGAAAGAGAAGTGTAGTGTTCATAAGAGACAAAAATTTTTAAGTAAAGACCTCTTAAATGGTGGAAAAATCATGGGCCTTGCATAGTTTGAATGTATCCACTTGTGTTTGTAGTTGATTATAAATAATGCCCTTTCTCGAAGGAAGGTGTTGGCTCAATGTAGCTAATACACATTGTATAAAGCACTTTATACGTGGTTGGGACTGGAAGAAATCAATATCATAAGAGTTGTTCTCAAGTGAGTGTTGTCAAATTCATTTGGTTGGTAGGGTCATAGTTGGATTATGATGGTCAGAAAGACCGTAGTCGACAGACCACGGAAGTTAGAAAGATTGTAATCAGGTGACGGATGTTGAAGGAACTGTAGTCGACGAGCGAAGGTCTGAAGGACAGTGGTCGGAGGGACTGTAGTCAGGTGATGGTGATAAGAGGAAGGCTCTATAGCCAACGGAGATGGTCGGGTAGACGTCCAGCAACAACGGCCTGGTAACGTGGATTCATGGGCGGTGGTGTCGGGTGGAGCTCCAGGATTCTTCAAGTGTTAGAGTTCTCCTCTTCTTCATTCATTCGCCTTCTCCCTTTTATGTGAAGAATGAGATGGTATTTATAGTTTTTTGGGTGTGACATCCTCAGTAAATATTGGGAAGATCCAGGATATATTCGGAGTGTTCTATCAAATGGCTAACAATGATTCTCTTGATCATAGAGCTTTTGTCAAGCATTTAAGTGTCTTAGTGATATCATAATGAAGTAATCATGGGCTCGTTGGATTCATCGAGCCACTCGATTCAACTATAAGCATGTGATATTTGGATATCATTTGGTTATCTAATTTATACTTTGAACCTTCTAAATATGCTTCTCCTCTCAATTTAAACTCATTTGGGCTCAGATTGGAACGATTTTTCTGTCGTTGGGTTTGTATCTTCGAGACATTGATTAGTTTGACTATAAGTTTGGTAAAATTTGAGTTCGGATGGTACCGCATTTAATTTTGAAAGTTTCCAATTTGAAAATGCCTAGAGATCCATCCGTGAACAAGGCGATTGTTGGTGATTTATCGAACCATATGATAATAATCAAATAACAATTAAATAACTTATTATATTAATAAAGATTATTGAAGATAATGATCAAATTTGTAATATCACTTGCTGGTGGTAGCTACTCGCTAAGTTTTGCTATGAAAATTATAGTAATACCACTTGAAATTAATCTAACCAATCTGCATGCCATTAGACATGATAAGACATTATTATATCTAATATCAAGTTAGCATTCAAATGGTCAAATTAAAAATTTAGATCCAAAGATTAAAATTTAATCTGGCAATGTTACAAATAAATGTAATATTCATATATGAATCATATAATGATGTATATAGATATTATATAAGGGTCTTTTGGGACAAATTTTTTATTATTTTTATGAAGCAATTTTTTAGTATAAGGCTTTGTTTGGGACGGCTTTCTTGTCCCTTCTTAAAGCAGTTTTCTAGTACAAAATTTTAAATTTTTGTACTAGAAAGCAGCTTTAAGAAGCAATAAAAAAGTCATCCCAAACGAAGCCTAAATTTTATACTAAAAAGTTGTTTCATAAAGCAGGAAAAAAGCTCTCCCAAATAAAACTTTAGTGGATCAAAGTCTTTCTATCTCCTTGTTGATATAAACTAAAGTCAACCACATAGACTTGGTGCATTCTTCTTTGGAACTTGATCTCTTTTACAATTGCTTTGTAATTAGTATCATGATAATTTAGCTACATTTAGATGGTGAGATTTTGATAGATGTCTTGGAAGAAATAACTATAAAATGTTTGTGATTCAAGGTGGAGCTGTTGTATATGATCAATAGCCTCTTCAATAAATTTTACTAAAAGTTCATATTATATATCTATTAAATCACATTTGAATGAATTTAATTCCATCATTTGAGATTTGAGGATTGTTCATGTGATTATTAATAATGAAGATCAAATGAAATTATGTAAATTATGTTGCTCACTTTTATAGTGGTTGATCTCTTTTATAATTACTTCATAGTTCACCATACTATTTGATGAGAAAAACTCAATAACATTAAATATGTCTTAATCTAAGTTCAAATGATCATAAATCAAGAACTTCGAAGTCTAGCTAGTTAGATGCTTCAAACTTCATACACAATTTAAAAAGTGAAACGATGCCCAAATCCTATATACTTACATCTCTATAAATAGAGAGTCAATAAGTTCAAAATCACTTAATTTTAATATTACTAAGGCTTCTCTTGAGATAGCTTTTTTACTACTTCTTAAAGCAGCTTTTTAATACAAAAATTAAAAAAAAATCGTGCTAAAATATTGTTTTAAGAAACAGTAAAAAAGTCTTCACAAATGACACTTAAATGCCTAAGAAACCGTCTATAATCAAGAAATCAATATTGATCATTCGATACATGTTTAAAATTTTGCCAAATATAACGAAATAAATACTCGAGAAAATTATAGATAGCTCCGCATTTATTCTACACATAAAATTGACAAGTAATTAGAGAGAGCTTAACTATCTAAAAATCCAAGAACTCTGCTTATCAATCATCATCGATGATTATTCTATGCGGTGTTCAAATAAATCCGGAGGACAATTCGGATGTGCCACATGGCCACATCATCCAATATACTGTATATTGAATGACATGACATGTCCGAATTAACCTCCGGCCACATGGAACAGGGCACCTACTAATTTTTTCATTGTCGGCCGACAACAAAAGGTTGGCTCTCTTCCCCTATCGCAATAGGGTAAGCGCCTGTCTGCACATTGGGCATGTAGAATTCCGCCGGAACCACTTATCAATACACTCCACATGGAAGCAGTGTCCGCACTCCGGCAAAAACCGAACTTTTTCGCCGTCCTCAAACTCCGACAAACACACCGCACACATCCTCTCCTCTCCTCCGCCACCGCCGCCGGCACTGCCACCGCACGCTTCACCACCAGCCACGTCTACCTTCCTAAAAATACGTGACGGCGGTATCAGCTGAACTCTCGACACCTCAATGGACACCGCCACATCAGCTCTGATCGCCGCCTCGCCGTTGAACTCTAGAAACACGTCACGACCTCGCTGCCGGCGACAGATTTTTGACATACAGAAGTAAATTACGACGAAAGCGGCGGCTAGAGAAAAGGTGACGAGGAGAAGATTCATGAAGGCGCGAAGGTTGCTTTGTTCACCGTCCATGAGAGGGAGAAAGCTGCATGGAGCAGGATTTTCCTTCTTCATAAGAGATGCAGTTGAGATTGTTAAATTGTTGAGGAGTCCATGGGAGGCTTTTTTTTTTTAATTTTTTTACTTGTTTATGCGTTGAAAAATTGACCTTGGAGTATAAAATTATTAAATAACGCATTAATGTGAAATAAAAAAAGATTTTTTAGAATTACAAGCTTCTAATTTTGTCGTGCTCGATATACTTTTATATGTTTGTTTTTTGCTTGGAATGAATATAAGAAGGTATTGGAATGCTATAGCCGTAAAAAAATAATCCTTGTGAGATTGTTTTGAAATATTCATAAAAATGAAACTTTTGAAAGAGACCAAAATAAAAATGGTCAATGAAAGTATTTTTTTTATCATATATGGTCAATGGAAGTTGTGATAACAACCCACAAAATTTTTTTAAAGAAAAAATCGAGCATTTGATCAATATTAAATTCATTATTGGTATGATTGAATTTAATTGGTTATGAATAGAGAGAGAGAGAGAAAGATTATTATTTAAATTAGAAATTTTTTAAATTGGCTTTGAGGCCACCCAAACTCTATTTTTTGCAAACTTGTATAGCAAATAAGTGTTATGGTGAGACCAACCAACAATACTAATAACTTCTTGATTCGAACCTGAATTTGGCTAAGTCAGACTCTTTGAAATATAATGAGTCATTCATAGGGCCGTTTGAGGGACCAAATTAAATGACATCCATTTTTTGTGTGCTTATGATCAAAATGAGCGTTTTGATGATACAAATATAGTAAGCCTAATTTCACTCAGATATGGTATCATTAAATAATAAAGATATTAGGAAAAAAACTAAATAATAAAAAAGATCGACTCTGATCGTCCAGTAGATCATGCTTATACACATTTGATTAAATCAATTAGAAAGACCACTAAAAAAATTTGTAAATAGGCTCTACTAATACACATTTAAGAAAATACTTCTTCAACTTTGAAGAATTTCAAAGCTCTAATCATCAACACACTACAGGAAAAACATCATTTTCCGGCGTCCATTTTCCAGAAATCCGCCGGAAAATCCGCCGGTATTTGCGACGAATTTACTTCCGCCTGAAATTATGTCGGAAATGAGTTGTTTTCCTGTAGCGACAGCTAAAGCTCACAACCTTTGAGGAGCAAGATGAACCTAGAGTAGGAGATTGAGAATCTTAAAATTTATTTTATTTACCCTAAAAATATGTATGTCAAGATGTCTAGTTGTCCCAATCTCACTTGACATTCATAAACTATGTTGATCAATATAAATTGTGAATTTCAAAATATAATTTATGAACTTAATTAAGAGTCTCTATAGAACTTAACCCATAAGATGCAATTAACTATGAAAGTTTGCTCTTTTGTTGAACTCGTAATTAAATAACTATGTATTGTTTTTTATATTAGACATGGGGAAATTTCTATGCAACACTTAAACCATCTAGTTCTATTAAACCTGAGAAAATTTTGTTTCTACCCCTATAAATTTTTATGTCCTTGCCCTCATTAAGGCTCTTTTGAAAGTAATCATACTTTTACCCCCTATAAGGCTATAATAGTGATGAGTAAAATGAACTAGGGTGGATACTTAGGAAAACCCTCACAATAATATTATTCTTCCCTTGAGATTTAGTATGCCTCTAAAGAGAATCTCTAAAAAACTTTTTTCAGAAATCCCCTTAATTTTGGCTTATCCTAGAGAAGTGGGACAAGTCCTTAATAATCTTTTAACTTTTGCTAAAATTCATGATAAAGAGCTTCATGAAGGATCGAGACAAAGGGAGACATATGAGGAAAATATAAATTAGAGGGAGAAAGACAAGGCTTTCCATATTTAAATTGATAATTTTTAAATAATATTTATTAAATAAGATTTTTATATAATCAAAAGTCATCTTGATATGGAATGGAGGAGTGAGCAGGATCTTCCATTGCCTTAGCAAGACCATAACTAAAGTTTGGTGTTTTTTTTATTTAAAATGGCCAATTAGGAAAAAGTATTAGTGGTGAGTGATGGTTTATTTATAGAATATTAGTTGTGATGGGGAGGAATTTTAAGTTGGTTTAAGGAGAGGGGATTAGTACTAGTGATGGCTAGAGAGAATGAAATAAATGAACATGAGTAAATGTGGGTGTATTTAGGGTGGGTAAGTTTTCTTGGAATATAATAAGTGCTTGATTTAATGAGTAAGATATCAATAATTAAGATGTTTTTGGAATGACAAATTGGGTTGTAGAACTTAAATGACATGTTATAGATTTTATGGTATGTGAGTTGTTATATTATTTATGTTAGTGGATTTGAGATAGGGAGGAGGGGATGAGGGATGAATGAAAGAAATGTTGACCTCAACAAATATGATATGAATAAGCAATATTAGTTAAAGGAGAGAATTTTGGTTATGATAATGTATTTTTCATCGAAACTAAAACTATTAATGATAAAAGTAAATTCTTATGATAATGTCTCTTTGAGCCTTCTCATAAAGGCTCATTAGCATGTGATATTATACTGTAGATCTGTAAGAACATAATTCAAAACAGTCTTTAGTAACTTGCATTGAGCTTTAAGGGAAATATCGAGGACTAATCATTTACTTGGGTTGTTTGATAGAAGGATTTGAGCGCAGAATTTTAAAAAAATGACACTTTAATTCCTACATAATTTTAAATCCTATTTCTCCCCCCATTTTGGCTTAAATCCAAGATTCAGTAAATTCAAGCAGTGGACAAATTTAACTTGTATCCAGAAGTCTATCACAACTTCTTCTCCTTCACAATCCTTCATTTGTCACTGGTCTCGTCAATACCTTCTCCAATAAGCTCTGATGCCCACTTCCTTGCTTATTTGTCATCTAGGATCTTGAAATTTGAGGGAGAAAGACAAGGCTTTCCATATTTAATTGATAATTTTTAAATAATATTTATTAAATAAGATTTTTATATAATCAAAAGTCATATTGATCTGGAATGAATTTCGAGACATATTTGAATTGAAAACTTTCAAATTTCAATTAAAAGATATTTGAACTCTGATTTCAATAAACTTATAGTTGAACATAATGTCTCAATAGGACAAACTGATCAACTCCAAAAGTGATCCAATATAAGCTTGAATGAGTCCAAATCAAGAGCCTGAAGCATAATTAAAACTTTATGACGTTAGTTGGATGGCCAAATGGTCTATAATTTTGGCATGCTTATAATCAAATTAAGCAGCTTGACACGACGAATATAATGAGCCCAAGATTGATTAATTTTGACATAATTAAGGTACTTAAATATTAAAGAAATCAACTATGTTCAATAGAAACAGTCATTTTGATGGAGTGTTTAAGATTTTCTATATATTTATGGGGCATATCCCAAAATCTAATTTTGAATAATTAATTCTTTCTTTTGTCTTTTATAATAATAACAACCAAATCTATCTAACTTCTTTTATCAATAGTATAAATATCAATGAAAATGACTATATTCATCAATATATATCTATAACTAATTAGTTTCACACTCTCAATCATCTTCCCTGATCTGAAATGATTTAAACTATATATAATGAGCTAAAAAGCTCAACATATTCCTAAATCCTACAAGTCAACTCATAGCGCAAAAAAAAAAAAAACAATATGCAAGTTGCAAATCAGCTCAAAGCAATAGATATCAATTTGATCATGAATTTATGCTAAAATAATAAAATACATACAATAACCATAAGACCTATAAAAATAGTGCAGTAAGGATGCAAGTACAATAGTGCAGAACGGAAATAATGAAATTTGCAAATTGGAAAACCAAGAATCATTGACTAACCAGTAACCACCACCATCAAACCTTTATCGCTTAATCGCCATCGCCAAACCTATGCGGCTCCATCAGCGAACCACCGCTACTAAACTCACTACAGGAAAACCTCATATTACCGGCGGACGAAATCCGCCGGAATACATAGATATTTCGACGGAAATATACGTTTCTGGCGCACGTTGCGGCGAAAATCCATACGCCGGTTTCGGTCGCGTCGATAAATTATTTTCGGCGCCATATCCGCCGGTAATTAGCGTCGCATTATGCGCCGGCCATTACCGGCGGATAATACGATACAAAGTGTGCATAGAAACCCCACGAACTCGTTTGCGATTCAAATTGTACGTCGGTACTTACCGGCGGACTGTGCGCCGGTACATGGGCCGGTAATTTCCGACAGAACAAAGACGACGGTACATACGATACGATTTGTTGTATCGTCGTTTCCGGCGAACTTCCGGCGCAAAATCCGCCGGAAACCTGGAGCATTGACAAAAAAAAATTTCCTTCCCAGCCAACAATCAAATTTCCACACCTGCAAACCTATACAAATATCAATTCTACAACATTTCAATTGTAACATTACAACATATCAACAATTTCACCACAGTTTCACAACAGTTTATAACATTAAAAGAAACAGTTCAGTACTAACAATCAACTAAAAACATCACATTAAAAGAAACTGTTCAATAAAACATGTTCACAGAAATAAACAAGTTCATATAAACTAAATTAAACTACTCTGACTCCGTGGACTCCTCCTCATATTTATTATTAATGAGCCAAAAGATATTAATTTAACCATATTAATATCATTTATTGTTTCATTTGATTAAAATTGTATTTTTTACCTTTATAAATTATTCATTAATAGCTAATTATGATATTAGTTATGTTAATTATAATTAAAGTGCATATTTAAAATTGAAAAAATAAAAAAAAATGGAAGAGAATTTCGAAGAAGAGAAATAAAGACCAAGGGTTCTTAATAATTTAATTTAGACCCCCACGAACTTAACCAAATAAAAAGCATCGTTTAATAAGTTAAGTAAATTACTAAGTAATAATTAATTGAGATATTATTTATGCTAATTTTTATTTTATTACTTAAATTAGCATTAATATATAATAAATTACTATGATTAAATATCATAATAATAATTAATATATAATAAGTTTACTAAATGAGTTAAATCCTTCTTAAAGCTAAACCCTCTATGGACGCCAACATTTAAAAATAATAAGTTCCGTATGAAATCGAAATTTCAAAAATATATATATATATATATTTAAATTGTGTCACACGCCTCGGCCTCTAGGCGTGATTTGATTTTAGTTTAATTTAATTTTTATATTTTCTTATAATAATTATTATATCATCATTATTATTTTTATTATATCATTATATATATATACTCGAATTTAATAATTCATAAAATTTATATCTTTCTTATTTTTATGTTCATTTAAATATCAAAATTTACTATAAAATCACATTTTATTGTTTTATTAAATTTTCAATAAAAATATATGAATTCAAATTGAATTTGTAAATAGTTAATGTTATGTGTGTAATCCTGAAAAAAGAAATGCTGGAATTACAAGAAAAGGAAAGAAGCCGTCACCGTTACAAACGGCGATGCGATCTTATCTGATGGAGGGCAAGTCTGAACGCGGGAGCATGAAAACCTCACCCTTTTGCCGTCTCCTTCTTTCTTTCTTCTTCGCGTTTTTCTGCTTTCGTTTCTCTTCCTCTCGAATCTTTTATCTGGATGGGGAAAGATCGCGAATCTGGTTACGGTGGTGGAGGCATTCTTCTCTCCGGCATGCAAACTCTCGCCGCCGCCTCCGTTCTTGCCGAGGTAACCATCTCGAAGCGATCACAGTCCTCCTAGGGCTTTTTTTTTTTTTTTTCATCCAGTTAATTATTGAAATGCTCGATTTGAATTTCCGTCTTTTTAACGATTCGTTCTTCTAGTTAGTTGGGGGTTTTCAATTGCTAAATGGGGGAATGGTTAACTGATTTATACTATCAAGGTTTCTCTTTCTTTAATTTTACTTGGTTTTGCGGTTAAGATTGGGTGGGTATTTTGTTGTATTTCTTCTTCTGGTTGGTTGATTTGGGTGTTGGTATTTATGAAATGGAATTGTGAGGTTTTTCTGTGCGATGCTTCTTTTTCTTTATTGCGGTGGACTTCAGAATCCACCAGACGGATAGGTGTCAGAGGTGGAGGAGGAGCTTCTCGGGATTAAGTCAAATAGCTTATCACAGAGTTTGGAGAGATTGAAAACCATATGGGTGAATCCCTGCTTACATCTCTCTCCATGGAGAACCACCACCCCTCCACCCTTCTCTCCATGGATCCCACTGGAGGTTGCCCTTTGCTGACTGCACCACCTTCTTCTTCCCATGATGATTCGGACCATGACATGATCCAACGCCAAATTGTGCTTTATGGTCCGCCGGACATTAACCTACCCCTCTCAGCTGATCGATCTCCTTGCCAGTTCGACCACTCCGAGTTGCTTGATGTTGGCTTAGGAACACAAATATATGAAGCTGAGTCCACTGTCATAATCCCTAAGGCTGGATCTCGAAAATGTAGCAAACGTGGAGATGGCATATGGGGAGCCTGGTTCTTCTTCAATTTTTATTTCAAGCCTGCCCTCACTGAGAAATCCAAGGGAAAGATTATATGGGATGGATCTGGTTTTACTGGATTCGACAAGTCCAACATTCGGCTCGATGTGTTCTTGGTCCAGCATGACATGGAAAACATGTACATGTGGGTGTTTAAGGACAGAGTAGAAAATACTCTTGGGAAGATGCAGCTGAGGAGCTTCATGAATGGGCACTCTCGTAACGGCGAGCCTCAGTTCCCTTTCAATGTCGAAAAGGGTTTTGTTCGATCGCATCGGATGCAACGCAAGCAGTACAGAGGCCTTTCTAACCCACAGTGTGTTCATGGGATTGAGGTTGTGAGTCTCCCCAATCTGACAGTTGTTTCTGAAGCTGATTGCAAGAAATGGACAGAGCTCACTGGAAGAGAACTTAATTTCTCAATTCCCGCAGATGCCATTGACTTTTCATCATGGAGGAATCTTCCCACCATGGATTTTGAGCTTGAGAGGCCGCCACCTCTGTTGAAGACGATGACATTGCATCCACATCAGAAGAAACTACTCAACGGTTCTGGATTGAACCTGTTGACCCAGCAATCAAATCTTTCAGCTTCTGAAGGGATAGACCTTCCAGCTACTGGCAACAAGCGCAGGAAGGATTATTTCCCTCAAGGAATGGAAGAAGACTTCTGCTCTCCTAGCAGTTCTTATTCAGATAGAGTTGCAGACATTGAATTGCATGTAGTAGCTGATCCTCCATGGCTGAATGAGTTCAGTGGTGTCATGAGAAATGCTTCTGGGCCTGTAACTGCTGGAAAGACGATATATGAGGATGATGAAGGGTATCTTATAATGGTTAGCTTGCCTTTCTCTGATCAACAGAGAGTGAAGGTCTCTTGGAGGAACACACTTACGCATGGAATAGTTAAGATACTATGTGTTAGTACTGCTCGAATGCCTTACATAAGAAGGCATGATAGGACATTCAAGCTGACAGATCCTTGTCCCGAACACTGCCCTCCTGGTGAATTTGTAAGGGAGATACCTTTAGCTACCCGCATACCTGAAGAGGCCAAGTTGGAAGCTTATTATGATGAAACTGGAGCTGTTCTTGAGATTATGGTGCCAAAGCATCGGGTTGGCTCTGAAGAACATGAAGTTAGGGTTTCCATGCGCCCTCCTCATCTTGTCGACCCAATGAACTTTTGTTAATGCAAGAAAGTTGGGTGAAGTAGATTGGTCAATTACTGTTGATTACTTTGTTTCATGCAGAAAAATTGCTTTGTATTTAAGAAGCTTCAATCATCATATACAGCCTTCATAGCACTTTTTTATTGTTTTTGGGCATTGCGTGGGGAAATTTTTTGGGTCAGGGTGGATTTGATGGTTATGTGTTGCACTTGTTTTGAAGTAAAAATATTGCTCATTCTGATCAAATTTGACTTAGAGTGTCTTTATCATAATTTTCTCTTATTTTCTTGCAAGATTAGTGCTGCTTTTATAATTTCTTTTTGGGATTGTTGGAGAAAATGCTTCATACTTTGAAGCTATTTATAATTTTTTATTATTGCAAATACTGGCAGTCTGGCATATGGTAAATGCATGAATGATTGTTAATGATGCATATAAATTATTTTAATGTTTTTAATTGGTAAAATATACAAATAAAATTAGATATTTAATTTGGCTTTTACTTGACATGCAATAATATTTGTATTTTTAATATATTTAATGAATGAGTAAATTAGTATAAAATTATTGAATTTTAATTTGTAAGTATTTGAAGTGTTTTGCATAACAATAACAAGTCTTTATCTCACTATGTGAGGGCGGTTGCATGAATTTTTTCTCTATTGTGTTTTATTAAGAGTCAAGTTCACATTTAAATTTAATAAAATAATATTAATTTTAATAATTTCTAATAAAGATTTTTTAGGTCCGTTTCTATCTTTCTTAATATATGTTAGCTAACAGGATCATTGGGAGGTTAATATTTTATGTGATCAAATCATCTAAGATGTCTCTATTTTTCATGTTTTAAATAATATTAAGGCTTCATTTGGAATAAATTTTTTATTGTTTTTCTACAACAACTTTAAAGCACAAAAATTTTTTGATAACAGTGAGAAAATATGATCAAAAGTTATCCCAAATAAAACTTAAATTATGGTTGGCTTATAATTTGGAGAATGTATAAGGTACTTATTGTGTGGCAGATGACAAGAGTCATGGTAATGAGAGATTATTACGTGCGGACGTCGAATGCGTCCAGAGGCTAATCAGGAGCCGCCATGTCATGCAATACTCTGTGCATTGAGTGATGTGGTAGCTCCTGACTGGCGTCTATATGCGTTCGGCATCCGCATGTAGCAATTATTTCAAGAAAAGGGCGACCATAGGAGTGGGAGGAAAGCACGAGGAAGCTTGCAATGCTAAATGATGAATGAAAAAAACTTCTCTTATTGAATATGATGACTGTCTTATTAATAGCATTTATAGAACATTGGAGAGAAAAATTAGAAAAAGGCGATAAAGTTGAAAAAGTGATAAAAGCCAAAATTTCAAATGCCTAAGTATTCAATAATGCTAAAAGCAATTCATTGATTAAATCCATCCAAACTATTCTTTCTAATAGCTTTTGAATGGTAGACTATAATATCCCACACATATAAGCAAATGACTATCACTTCTTAATAGACAATAATAATTACATCAAATTGAGATTTTATTTGGAACATATTTCATACTACTTTTTAAAACAGTTTTTTATTACAAAATTTTTAAATTCAAAAAAAAATTACACTAAAAAATTATTTTATAAAACAATAAAAAAATCGTCCCAAATGAAATCTGAATCAGCTTAGATTGCCCCACATGAGTACTATAAAAATCCTGCCTTACCCCATCAATAGGCATTGATTGATGAGGTCACCAAAATGAAATAATTGAAGCAAGTGGATCTCATAATCCAATAAAATTTTCTTCCAGCCAGCACATTCTTAACACCATCTTGCACTTCATGGTCCTCTGCGTGTGGACCCCTTCAATCACAATGAATTGTTGGTTTATTGGACTGAAATGATGTGCTCAATTCCATTTGCTCTTGAAATAGTTTAGAATATTATAATGATAACTAAATGATGTTGATGATAATAACTAATTAAAAAGTTATTACTAATAATTATAAGCTTGTTGCATCCTAAAAAAATTTTAATTGGATGATATTAGTCGAGCAATGATGATCAGCTATGATGATCAGATGATGTTAGTCGAGCGATGATGATGGGGTGAAACGGTCAAACAATGACGCTCGAACAATCATGAATGGATTATAATTATCGAGCGATAATTATTAGAAAAAAAACAATCGGGCGAAGATGTTCAAATTATCATAGTCAAGAAACAGAAGTCAAATAATGGTGGTGGCTAGTGATGATCATCGATATTTGTAGAGCTCTCTAGTCTTCGATGTGTCTGTGAGCTTGTCTTTCTTTTTTTTTTTTTTTTTGGTTCTTCAAATTTTCTAAGCTCTCTTCAAACTCAAGTTTAGGTTTCTTTCATGTTGATAATAAGGGGTCAATTTATAATATTTTAGCATTGGCATTTTGATAAATTTTGCTAAAATTTAATAACATTTCATCGAACTGCTCATATTGAATCATTTGATCATAGGCCATTTAAGGCATTAATGACCTTTTAATTGAGTGATCTTTGACTTAGTAGATTTAGCTTCATGACACCGCTCGATTTGACTAGAAACACACAAGATTTGAATATTGCATGATCCTGCAATCAATTTCCATAAGTTTCTAATTAGACTTCAGTTAATTGATCATTTGGATTCATATCGAATCATCTTTTGGATTGTTGGTTTCATCTTGTCAAGATGCACAGTTTGACTATAACCGCACTGTAATCAGAGTCCGAATAATTCTAAATTTAATTTTTGATATTTCTAATATAGACGGTGCATCAAAATTTGTGTCGAAGAAGTGAAATTTGTAAGACATACAAAACTAAATATTTTTAAATACCAGAGAAGCAAAACATTAAGTGGAGAATAAGCATCTAGATAATAACTAGCGTAGATCATAGTCAAACACTTTGAATTTGTAAAATTGTTCTCCGTGGCAAAGAATATAAAGATCCGTAGACCAAATTCATGGTCAAAGTGCTCAAACCTAGTCATGGGGGTGGATCGATTCCATCTCCACGACCTTATCTTTTCATTATAAAGAATCATTCATATAAGCCTCAAATATGCAAAACTAAGATTTCGTTTGGGACGGCTTTCTTACTACTTATAATAGTTTTGTTAGTACAAAATTTTAATTTATGTACTAAAAAACTATTTTAAAAAGCACTAAGAAAGTCATCCCAGACGAAGTTAGGCGAAACCTTAGGCTTCATTTGGGACGACTTTCTTCTTGCTTTTTAAAATAACTTTTTAGTACAAAAATTTTTTTAATTTGAAATTTTTGCAGTACAACGCCGTTTTAAAAAGCAATCTGAAAGCTGTCCCAAAGAAAACTAAGGGTTCGTTTGGGACGGCTTTTTTATTGTTTTCTAAAACAAAATTTTAGTACAAATTTTTTTATGCCAAATACATTTTGTGCCAAAATATTTCAATACTTTTTTTTTTTTTTTCTCGAAAAGAGTTCAACAGCATCAAGCCTTTAACACACTATGTGAGGTTAGCTACATGAATCATTTTTTTTTTTTTCCATTGTGGCTGTTTTAAGTCAAATTCCTATTTAAATCTAATATAAAAAAGTCATTTCTAATACTTTCTAACCAAATATTTCTTGGCCTATCTCTACATTTCTTAACATAGGTCATATATAACACATATATTCTCCTAATCGAGTCATCAAAATACTGACATTTTATATGACCAAATCATCTAAAGTGACTCTTCTAATCTTATATGTCGCTAGAGCTACTCCAATCTTTTCACGTATATGCTCATTTCGCATTATGTCTCTAAGATTAAATTCGGGACCCTAAACCCTAAACCCTAAAAGAAAATATAAAATTATATATGCATTTTTTTAATAGGTTTGAAAGAATCTTTTTTTTTTTAGGTAAATTATCTTTGAGGTGGTCAAGTATTTGATTGAATGTCGGCCACTAGCCAGATTGCTCTCATGCATGTAACATATGTTTTGCATGAAATTTATTTTTTATTAGGGCTTTGTTTGGGATGGCTCTCTTACTACTTCTTCTAATACAAAAAATAAAAATTTTATACTAAAGAGTTGTTTTAAGAAATAATAAAAAAATCACCCCAAACGAAGCCTAAGTTGATTGGCTTTATCATGATAGTGCCCTCATTAGTTTGATCTCTATACATAAAGAAAAAGAGAAATGAGATCAACTCATTTAGAGATTACATAGAAATTAAGGTGCTATTAAAAATTGAACATAAAATCAAAGTAATGATAGGTAAATTGAATAAAAAGAAAGTAATTGGATAATTGATGGCCTCTTTATAAATAGAAGTGAAAGATAATTGTTATGATGAAAACTTCAAATAGTTCGAATGAGAAAGTATCATTAGGATTGAGAATTGTCTATCTGAAGAAAAATATATAAGAGAATGATATAATATAGATAGAAAGATGCTAAAATTTAAGTGATTTGGCATCAATTAAATCTAAATCCAATAGAAAAATATATGAACTACTGATAAATATAAAAATGTTGTTCAAGATGTACAATATTAAGCACACTTAATATCATTTTCTAAATATCTTTTTTTTTGTCTCCTCCTCATCAAATTGAGGACTCTGGTCTTATAAAGCTCTATATGGCTTAAAACCTTGCAATCTCAGCTGACTAAAATATCATCTGAATTAAATTCCTATGTTCTAGAAATGGGAGGAAGAAGAAACTCTTCTTGAGCCTTCTTGCTAGAGAGAGTGAAGAATAAGGGAGGAGAGGGAGAGAGGAGTTGTAGGAATCTCTTATTCTTTAATCTATTGGGCTTACAAGAGAGGCTCATTACATCAGCCTAAACAACCTATATATAAGAGATTGGATACTCGTGTGGTGTCTTTGTGGATCAACCTAATCTAAAATAGGACAAAAACACAACACTATAAGAAACCTCTAAACCATTATGTTTTTCTTTCAATTAGTACTACTAAATTTGAATTTGTATGTGTCACTAATTTGTTATTCCACTAAAAAATTCTTCCCCTGACCCTAAGTATTGAGATGATACGACCTGGTACTACGAGAAAATATGCAGCACAAAGTCAAAATCTTATAGGATAATAAATTCACAGAACTTTGTTCTCAAAAGATCAGAATTCTTTGACCTATCAAAATTTTCTCCACCTGAAACAACATGAATGGTGATCCAAAATTATGATATTATAACAAAGTGTTCTATTGGATGATGCGCTTAAAGATCGTGAATGATGCGCTTAAAGAAAATATAGAAGAGGAATAAAATACACCATAAGAGAGACACCCATATTTGTATATTGACTTGCCAATTTTATTTCCATTGGAGTGGAGAGATTTTTTAATCAACTAATAAACACACAACTCATAATCATGTTGCATATTATAAAGAATACCACTAGCACTTTCTTTTACCAAAGTGCACTTAAGAAAAAGGCAAGAATCCAACAGAGATTAACTTGTATAAGAAACCTCATGTCACACTCCATAATTTAATTTGAAAAGGGCTAAATTAATAGAGATTTATTTGATAGTACCTGCACCCAGGTATGATGTGAGCGGGAAGAGGATCAGAGATGAATCAAGCAGGGATAAAAAAAGTGTCAATGGTAAGATAAGTAGATATGCTGATTCGAGGAGAGGATTGATAGCACCTACCAATAACTACAATGATTGTATTCATTGTGGAAGGAGACATTCCTGACAATGCAACCTTCTAGCGAGGCGATGTTTTCAATATAGACAGCAAGAACATAAGGTAGCTAATTGTCTACAAAGAAGACCTGGAAGAAGAGCCGATCCTAGAGCAAGATAGTCTAGGCAGATTGAAGGACAGTGGATTGTATGATTGAGAGAAAACAATGCAAAATTGAATAATATGGCTTACGAAAGAGTTGTTAGTGGTTGTTAGTGGCAGTTAGAGTCTTTTGCACTAGGACCAACAGCACTTGTCCCAATGATGCCACGAGTGTACAACTTGCAATTACATGTAGATACGAATAGGCCTGAAGGTTCTACTGCTAAGAAATTTTGTTATGAATGGCATGACATTTCATTGCATAAATAAATGGTGTGTGATTACATGAATTGTTTGACTGTATAATATAAATTGATTTCTAGTTTGGCTTGGATTCTTCGACAAGATTTTGATTTGATTTTGATATGATTTGAAATTATGTTGTACTTATTTATTTTGAAACTAATTTGTTTTGTATTGATTTCGTGTATCCTAAATTCTTAGTAGATTATTGGGCATGATTTTTTTTTGAAACTAATTTGTTGTGGCATTGGGATTTTGAGTGTCGCGGCTTTGGGGGGTGCAGTGCTGCAATGCCAGAATTTGACGCGGCGACATTAATGCACTCTATTCTACAACACTTCATACTTATTCCATAGTTACTGTAGAACAAAGAACATAAGTGTCACTTTATTGAATTCTGACGCCCCAATGCTGCAACCTCCATAGGCACATTTCTCAAAATTCCACCACCGCAGCACCATAGTGTAGAAATTTTAGATGTTTCAAATAAATCCATTTAAGATCTTTCAATTGTTGCACCTTCTAATATGCATTAAGAGAGTGTGAGAGAAATGTAAAAGATGTCCAAAACTATAATATCTTAACCCTACGCTAACCATAAAACATCTCTAATATAAAAAGGACATAAAGAGCCTTACTCAGTCAAGCAAATTAAAATAAGATCTATGTGGAAGCCCCTAACAAAGTCAATAGTTAGGGAAGATCTTAGCTTTTTGAGTGATATCCCTAAAACACTTAAACATGATGATTAAGAAATCTACCTAATAAAATCTAATTAGCCTGATCAAACTTTGGTTAACTCAAGTTAGCTAAAACAAACATTAGTCAACATAATAATGAATTGTGTTTGTTATATATTTAGAACACAAAGGAAAAACTATACTCTATAAGAGACAAAAGCTACAAATTTGCCCCATTTTGACATGTGAAGTGGCACTTGGTATGTCTTACTTGACACTATGTAGTTACAAGCTCAACTACTCAGCATTCTCCTAATTACTTGACTACTTGCTCATACATGCTTAGTTACTTAATTATACATATTAATTTACTAGGTCCAACCAATCTCTTAATTTGCCTTCTTCCCTATGAACCTGTCATGCTTAAATGCCTACTTGGCTCTCCTATTATAGTTTCTACTCAGCCCTCATGATACAATTATTTACTTGAGTGTGCTTCTACTCCAAATTAAAGTGAAGGAGAACTTGAGTGTGTGAATTCATAGCCCCTAGACAAAGACTTCTAAGAAAGGAATGAGGTCATAGTGATGATAAACTATTTATAGAGGTCAACTTCAACTTATTATCATTTCATCACTAGATATATTAAATCCCCCACAAGTTAGATTATTCATACTTCTTTATTTCTTATATGCATTTATAAGAATTAATCTTCTAGTGTATTTATTATAATAATAGCTTAGATCACCTCCTACTCATTCTTGTTATTGTGTATGTGTTCTATACTAATTATATGTTTAACATTATTAACTTATAAATAATTTAACAACTACTAATGTAATTACATCAATCTTATAATAGATTATACTTGTCCTACATCATGCCCTCTCTCAAGCCCAATGTTATTATATTTGATACATTATCAAAAATTGATTTGATTAGGCACTAATCTCAATGCATATTTAAATAAAGAACTTTCAGAATTAATCCAACATCATCTAAACCCTAAATTAAAGAAGACCTCATCATCTGTCGCTGGCATAATAGGTCAATTGGTTATAAGGTAAAGTTTATAATTATACCACAGACCTTTTATTTTAAGGAAAGTCCATCAGCTCACCCTCATACGCATGGTATTTTGTTTAGCGCCTAACATTGCGGCGCTCCATTGACCTAACACTACAGCGTTGCATGTAAAACATCACTACACTGCAACCCCACGTCAGCATCGCTGTGCTAAATTATTTCTAGAAATTATTTACATGTTTCCAATTACATGAACATAGAAATAATAGTACTTTAAAAATGTAAAAATGTTAGTACTTTCAACATATGTAAACAATATCTATATATTACATAAGTATGCATAGTGCACATTTAATGTAAATAATGACTTGCATTTTTCTCTTCTTCCCTCATTCCACACATTTTCAAGTACATGACCATAGAAATTTCAGTACCATCAACATGCATGAATAATATCAGGAGCGAAGCCAGAAATTTGTATTAATGGGGGCACAAATTATTGATTTTAAATTATTCTAAATCTATATTTAAAATTTTAATAAGTAAAATAACTAGAAAAGAAATTATACACTGCAAATTTTTTAAAAAATTTTTTGAATTACTCCCCAAAGTTCATTTTCTACATTTTTTTTTTGCTAATTTTAAACATATTTTCATATTCAAATAACTTTAAGAAATTAGATTATATCATAAAAATTAAAACTTTAAATTTACAAAATGGTTGGATCTAATACTTTACTTATTTTTCATTTTTATAAGATTTTTAAATGTTTTTATTATATATTGTAAAGTAAAAATCTAACAATACGGTACGCATCCCTAAACCCTAAACAAATAACTTTAAATTCCTTTTTCAGAAAAGAACAAAAAAAGTGATAGAAAGAGAGACTCACAAGTAACAAATCCTTAGAGAGAGAGAGAGAAAGAGAGAGCCGTGCGAATACCAAGAATTAATATTTTGGGGGAAACCAAGAATAAATCTCAATTTTGAGCACATTTGGCTTTAGGGTTGCTGCTTCAAGCATGTGGGGAAAAATAGCGGCAACGAAAGGAATTTAGGATAAAGCTAATTCACTTAATTATGTTTTAACCTTTTATATCAAATACATTACCTAATTTATAAAATTTTCATTTGCTTGTGGGGGCACCTGCCCCTAGTGCCCCCACCCTGGATCCGCTAGTGAATAGCATCAAATATAACACAAGAATATGTAATTTTTCACATGTATAATGAACACAGTATCATTTTCGAGGGAAACACTTGTATGTACATTCAACATTTACAAATAATAAAACTATTCATGAATAACTTTTTCTTCATTGGTTGAGATGAAGCATAGAAAAAACTTACTTGCTAGTGATGTGTGTGAGATGTTAAGAGGCCCTTCAAGTGCTTGGTGGGCTATTTTGAAAGGATCAAGGAGACGACCATTCAAATTAGAAAAATTACAAGGAACCATAGCCAAAAAGCTTAGAAGACCAAAGCTAAGAGATGATGAAGAATAAGGACTAATACTAGTAGAAAAAAAAAAAAGATAAGAGAGAAAGACAACGTAAAAATACTCTAACCCTACCATCAACTAATCATAATCCAAAAAAAAAAAAAAACTCAATAAAATTATTTTTTAGAAAATTTATTTGTGATTATATATATATATATATAGCTGTATCAGGAAATCTACAACTCGTCTTTCTCGCTCACTCGTCCACCGGACTCTTGAGCCTATATATTTATCAAACCTGTCCGCTGGTTGGGCTTCGAAGGCTTCTCCGCTTCTACGTCATTGCCTTGCCTGCAAGCAGAGCATCCCAACGGACTCCTTGTCTCCTCTCCTTCCTCACAGGCTGTCGCGTTTTACCCATTCCCTGATCGTCGCTGATGGCAGCGGCAAGCCAAGCAAGTTTGCTCCTTCAGAAGCAACTGAAAGGTTAGCGGTTTGATCGCTAGGGTTTACACCAAATTCATCGTGCATCGCTAGCATGGAGAATATATATGATGGTTCACTGTTTATTTCTTGTTCTATGATCAGATCTCAGCAAAAATCCGGTGGACGGCTTCTCCGCCGGCCTTGTAGACGATTCTAATATCTTTGAATGGAGCGTGACCATCATCGGCCCGCCGGACACGCTCTAGTGAGTGATTCTTTTGGAAATTGTTTGGATTTCACCTGAAATTTGGTTTTAATCATTGATATGTTGGGCTAAATATTGGATGGATATGTTGGGTGTTCATGTGAAATATGTTTTTTTTTTTAATTGTTGTTTGATCTGAAATTTGTTGTTATATATAATAGGAAAATGGTTGAAATTGACTTAATTTGCTTAAAAATTGTGATTCCTGAAGGTTCTGTTAGGGTATTTGTTTCCTTGAATGATAAAGCTTTTCCTATTTTATTGTATTTTAATCTATTCCCAGGGCATGCTTCATGTTTTAAATTTCCTTGACTTTAGCATGGAGCAAAGAAAACATAGGATATACAAGAGCATAATTTAATTTTATTGCTAGTCGCCCCCTATATTTATATTGTTATGGTTTTGACTCAGAGTTGTAATCTGATGCTGGGTTGTTCTACTTATAAATTGCAATTGCTAGGATTATCTGTTAAAATGTCTCTCAGGGTCTTTTATGTTGCTTGTGCTCGTCATCATTAGCCTAGTCTCTACTATTTGGAGTGAGTTTAGAAATTCCGTTTCTCCATTCCTTTAGAGTGCTGCTCACTTTCAGGCATGATTGATAAAATACTTTCAGATACTTTTTGAAGACTTTTTACATGAGAACCATAAAACTAGCATGAAAAGCTATATGCTTTGATTGTGCCTATAGCAATAACAATGATGATGATACGTCAGGGTTATCAAATATTGTAAGGTGGTAGAAGGTCTAAAGACTCAAAGAGGATTTTAGAGAAGAGTGTAGGTGGTTTGGAGTTTAGCCTCTGGAGTGTTATTAAATAAGGGCTAATTTCTTCCAATTGCGGAGGATAAATTCACTTGCATCCCTACATAGAGTTGTAGGGACTTCACATTATGTAGCGGTTCTTTTATTTTCATGTTGTTTGTATGATATTACTTTTCCCCACTGTAGGATAGGCATTCTGCAATATAGATGCTTTTTAAAAATGTGGGTATCCTTGGGGTTATTTCGTGTGGAAGTGTTGGATGTTTAAAAAGGGTGTTAGGAAATGTTTGTAGAAGGTATGAATTGGTAATCATACTTAATAGGTTGCTCGTATCTTAGAGTCTAAGTTGTTTAAATAAGGCAAAGTTTTTCATTCATATATAAAAAAAAAGGCTGAGGTGCCTTATCAGCTTCCTACCTACTCCCAGGTGATTCACTTTACAAGGGGATGTACCTTGACAATGTCTTTGTTAAGGCGAGCATTTTTTAATACCATGTAGTATAGTGAATTCACATCTTTACTTGTAGCTTTTCCTCCTTTTGTTAGACTGGAGATGTTTTTTATTTGTGTAAAGGTTATAAAATGATCATAAATTTAATTATTTTAAGCTACTTCTCCATTCTGATAAATTACACGACTAATTTAGAAGATAGAAAATCACACTATCCTTACTCTTCTTCATTTTCTATTAACCTTCAATTTTTTTCATGCTCATTTTACATATTCACTTGCATTATTTGGAATATGTTGTATATGTTAAGAAGTGCAACAATATTTTTCTTTTGCATAATAAATCAATAAAAAAAAAATTTTCTTGATGGAAGGTACCTTACAATAATATAGTCCATAAGTGCTAGTGGTAGTTCTCCCTCACTATGCATTTTGGAGAATTCTCATTAAAAAATTCAACATAGCTCTTGATTAATTGTTGAATGGGTTTCCCAATATTAATATCTTAAGTCTAATAATTGACAAAGTATTTACATATCAATATCTTTTTTTTACGAAAAGTACTCAATGTTTTACCTAGTTGTACAGAAAACTATTTATAAAAGGGAAAACACCTTAGCTCTTGTCTTTCTGATGTGATTTCAATCTTTGGTATCTTGTGTTGCCTTACAATATAATGAAACTATAAAGAATCTATCATCTTGCATGAAAATTTGTAAAATCTTCTAGGTCTTCAGTGGTTGTGGCATCTTTGCCCAACATATGTGTATTTAATGCATTGAAGCTTAGCCAACGGCACATTTTTTAAGCATAAGAAATTTAGTGTTCATGCATCCAAGACGGGCTTGTTTTGTTTTTAAGTTGTTTAGGTTGCTTTTCATGATTAGTGAATCGTTTTTTTATATTTTTTTCGTGAGCTGGTAGCCGCTGTTCTAGGCTATAAAGCATAGAGCTGAACTTAAGACATGGTACAGGTGACAAGGCATTAGATGGATATTATGGAAAAATATTTATGATATATAATATGAAATCATGCTTTTGTTTTATATATAAGTCTACATGACAAACTACATATGAATTAAAATTTTGATTAAAAAGAGAATGAAATTCTAATCGCTACATTATGCAAGAATAAACCAAGAGGATTCCAAAATCATCAATTTTATGTATTTTCTATAGTATTCAATTGATTTAGAAGGTCCAAGACAGTTTTCATATTTTCTACAAGATCCCCGAGAGTTTCTAGATGGAATTGATGAAGTTTCAAACTCTAAAACCGTCTATGACGGGATTGGAAACTTCTAGGATGGTTCAAATTTCAATTTACTAAAAAGAAGATGCAACGTGGAATTTAGCAACAAAATAGCAACCAAATCCTATCCACATGCAGGGACCAAACACTTAAGGATGATTTCAAGCAGAATTTTAAATGTGTTGCTTGTTTTAAAGATTATTTCTTATGTTTATCCTTATTTTCGGATTTCATGTTTTTAGTTAGTTACTTATGACTGTTTGATGGAGAAGTATAGAGAGAATAAGGTGGATATATATATGATATTTATTGATTTAGAGAAAGCATATGCTAAAGTTCCAAGAGAAGTGCTATGGAGAGTTCTAGAAAAGAAAGTGATTAATAATATTTATATTCAAGTCATTAAGGATATGTAGGAGCTATTACTTGTGTTCAAATACAAGATGATTTGATCAATTATTTTCCTATTTCAATTGGATAACATCAAGGATCAACCTTAAGCCCATATCTTTTTACATTAGTTATAGATGTTCTTACTAGACATTTGCAAGAGGTTGTACCTTGGTGTATGCTTTTTGTTGATGATATTCTTCTTGTTGATAAGATTAGAGAGGGAGTTGATGGTAAACTTGAATTATGGAGGTCAACCTTAGAGTCTAAAGGTTTTCGTTTGAGTATATCTAAAATTGAAAAGATGGAGTGTAATTTTAGTAGTAATAGAACCAGTGGGGGGCTTGTGACTTTGGGCTATCAAGTCGTTAATAAGAGTACACGTTTTATACATCTTGGGTCTATTGCTCAAAATGATGGTGATCTTTTTCAAGATTAGTTTGGATTTTGCTTGCTTCTATGTTTTTTTTTTAATTTTCTAGAAATAGAGATCAATTGTAATAAATGAAAACACGTTGGAAATTCAATACGAAGATGATTCTCTTGATCTGAAACCCCTCCCTCTTATCTAATACCCACCATCCTCTAGTCCCAATAGAAATAGAGGCTTTGACTCTCTTTTCTTCACCCTCTATTTTTTCCCTAGATATTGGCTATAGTTGTATACTACAACTGATGAGGATATCCGACCTTGAAGAGTCTACCAGAGGCATGGCCGTCGATCTACGACCACGATTGCACCTCTTTACTTTTGATTATCATTATATTAGATTTATTATTTATGTATTAATTTATGGGGCCTAGTCATGTGTATGCCCTAAGGGCAAGTTGGTCTTTTTATTTTCTTCATTGTATTTGCTATTTAAAGCCTCCTCCTCCTTATTTGAGGAGGTAATAAATGATATTATGAAAATTTCAGCAACTTGTTCCTTGTGAGGTTGTGAGAAAGCTTTGGAGAGAACCCTAAGTGAGGGAATCAGATCACCCACCAGTTGTAGGAGGCATCCAGGCTCGTGGTCATCTTTATTTGCTTTCTTTCTTCCCCTCCCCTCCCACCATCGGCCATCCCCTCCCCACCTCTCGACAAATTCCCACCACCATCCCTCCACTTAGGCCGACCACCCAAACTCTAGCCCCCTTACTTGGCCGCCGGCCCCAACCCCAATTTCCCCTAGCCGTCGGCCATAGTTCCCCTCCTTTGCCTCCAAATCCTCAAGTCTCTAATTACTTACTTTCCATATTTAGTTTATCTCTATTTGGGAAGATTTCAAATTCAAATTTCAATTATAATCGAATTGAAATTCTTTCCTAAATTAATCAAGCTATATTTGGAAAGTTTCCAAAATCAAATCAATTCAAATTAAAGAGATCTTCATGATTAAATCTCTTTAATTTAATTTATCTTGTTTGGAAACAAATTAAAACCCTCCACAAATCCCCTTCCCCTTCCTATAGCCGACGACCCCCCCTCTTTTGCCCGTCTCTCTCCTATCTAGTTAACACCCCCATTAACCTATCCAATCAACCACTCAACTTCCCCAAGATCAGCCGCCACTACCCTTGCTCCTCCCCTTAATTTTCTACCAAGTATTCTCTCCCAAAAACAGCTCCTAATCCCCAATTCTAGGTTTCCAAGTTGCTGTCCAAATTTTCTGGACATTGTTTGGTGGCTGTCCAGAGATTTATGCACTTCTCCTTGCTATCCAGCCAGTCGGGAGATCATCGTTTGCTATTCGGAAGTTCCAACACACTAAAATCTGTTGTTCTCTCATGCATGGTGGATCTGGAACTTGATCACAGGTTTGTTTACAACAATCAAGGCCAAATAGACATTGTCAAATCTCCATTCTTCGATGTCAACTTGGAGATCAACCGCACCGTTGAAGAGTACATTGATAGGATTATCTTCAACCTCGCCGCCGCCTTCGACGAACAACTCTCATCTGTCCAGTGGCAGATTATTTCCAAACCCCTGATGAAGATTAACTCTTCCTCCGAATTTTATACCTTCCTAATTACTTTCAATTATGGTCATAATTAATTCATAAAGTTGTGTTAACTCCCTCCGCTAAGTCTAGTAATTAAGGAGTTGAGTGAGGGATCTATTTTCATAGTGACTAGTCTCATTGTTAACTTAGGGA